GCAGGCCACTTCCCAGCAGGGGATGCATGAGAGGCAACCATACATTGATGTTTCTCTCCCACTCTTTCTCCTTCCCTTCCCCTCTCTCAAAAAATAAATAAATAAATAAAATATTTTTAAAAATTACAGAGTGCACTTATTTTGAATGGATGAATACACATAATTTCTGGTAGAAAGTAATAGAAACTGTTGGCTGCATTACAACCATCTTTAGAGTTGGGTAGCTACTCTCAGTTGTAGTCTTGATTTTTTATATAATCACACAATACCAACGCTTTCCCAAAGCCTGTTGATTGGAACAAAATTCAAGCTGCTCACAAAAGTCTGATGAACTTGCTCATGACGATTGTAATTCAGATTGTTTTCAAAGAAAATTCTGATTTTCCTTTTTTTTCTTAATCCTCAACCAAGGACATTTTGTCACTTTTTAAAGAGAGACAATGGGAGACAAAGAATTACCAATATAAGAGTATGCATCAGTTGGTTGCCTCCCTTATGCACCTGGACTAGAGATTGAACCCACAACCTATATAAGTACCCTGACATGGAATCGAACTCACAACCTTTTGATTATGGGACGATACTCCAGCCAACTGGGCCATACTGGCCAGGGCTGGATATCCTTTAGATGTTGATTCCACTTAAATAGCTTTTAACTCTGTTTATCAACTGGCCGAATTGAGACCTTCCTCTTTTAGTTAAAAGGACCAGGATGAAATGGGAGGGCATGTTCACTCTAGATTTGGTCACATTGACAAATAAGCTTGCTCACACCCTTGATGAGTCACCTGAAAGAAAAATTTCTAAACTTCTTAATTTTCAACTCCAGTAGATGAAAGTCCCTATAAAAAACCAAAAACCTCTTAGTTTCTGTTATTGCAGTGAGACAGGACTTTGGAAAAGAGGTCACAAACTTGTGTGCTTTGGGTGCTTTCAGCTAACCAGGCCTCCCAGTGTCTCCCTATTCCAGATGACGGGACTCTGAAGAGCTACAGGGGCTTCTACCATTCTTCCTTTTTTGATCTGCTTGGAGAAACCACTCTCCCAACTGGGAATGAATCTGTGGTCTTATTGAGCCACACTCCTGGTGCTCAACCCTACTGCTACAAAGAAGACCCTGCCTTGGAGTACTGACAACAATTCAAATAGTGGGTCTCTAATGAACCTCAACAGTTTCCTATCCTTTTTGTTTGAGCCCTCTGAGAAATACCCTTTTCAAAAAAAAATAAGAAGGAAAAAAAACAAAGAAATGCAAAATAGAAAGCAGATATACTCATTCTCCAGATATCCGGTCCTATTTTTTCCTAAAACATGGAATGTAGAGCCATTATAAGGGTTTAGATCTGCCCTATGGGCCCAGTCATACTTGAGCTGCAATGTACCCATATTGCAGAAAAGCCTGCATTGATTCCGTCTCTTGATATCAGTATTCAATCTTGACTAAATTATCAAACAACACTAACTGAGCACCACTATAATCAGAGTACTATTCTCAATTGCTGTGAATGGTAAAGAATTGTAAAGAACAGAAGCTTATTCATTCCCTGAGTTAACAAATATTTATTAAATTCTCACTTTGTACGAGGTACTGAGCCAGGCACTAGGGAACGAGCATGGAACACAACAGATTAAAGCCCTGCCTTCCAGAGCATGTGATACTGGGAAATGGAGAGGGACAGATAACAAATAGCTAAGCAAATTAAACAGCAGGTCAATTGGTAATAGCCTGTATGGAGAGAATGAAACAGAAAAGGGAGACGTAAATGGAGGGTGAGTAGCACAAAATAGTTTACAAGTTATAGTTAGCATGGTGAACCTGTATGGCACAGGCACTAATCTGAGACTCAGTTAGCCTTTCTCAGAGCTGCCATGGGAGGTGGAAAAAGGTGCAAGGGACTCCTCAGCAGAGGCTGGGGAGACCTCCAGACTATGTAGTAGAATAGAAAAAAAGGGAGGAGAGTCAGAGGTTTGCAGCCTATGAGAGCCAAGGGGGAAGATGTCAGGCGCTCCCCAAAGTATCACTTATGTCAAAGAAAGGGACCACAAATTCACTAGCCAAAGATCTCTGCCTCTGGTTTTAGCAGAGCACCTGGTGGTCAGACAGGAAAGGGCTATTAAACTGCATGTAACAAATGCCAGCCCAGGCACACCCAGGAACCAACGTGAAACGAGGTGCTTTTCTCCCTTTTGGTTTCATAAGGACCTTTAAGCCACCTGACTGGTGTTCCCCATATACCTGGACCCACTTACATAAAGGCTAAGAAGGAAGAAGAAAGTGTGGGAAAGGAGACCCATGTTACCCACTAGAACTGCACATTACCTAGAGCAGGAGTGTTAAACTCATTTTCACTGGGGGCCACATCAGCCTTGCAGTTGCCTTCAAAGGGCTGAAATTATTTTAGGACTATGTAAGTGTAACTACTCCTTAACTGTTAAGAAGTTAATATTACATTCAGCCCTTTGAAGGCAACTGTGAGGCTGTTGTGGCCCCCAGTGAAAATGAGTTTGACACCCCTGAAGAGGGACTGTTTAATTTAATCCAATATAGTCTACTGTATTTTACTTGGGCTAGATAATTGATTTTATCTTGTTACCCAGTAGGTAAGCAAGATAAGATCAGATCAATTATAGATGAAGAAATTACAATTCCTCTGCTTAGAGGAGGAGGGAGGGAGGGAGGGGAAAAACATGAAAATGGTAAATGCAAAAAGTCTTTTAAGGAGTTTTGCTCAAAACATGAAAACAAACCAGAAGAGGGAGAAAATATGATGATACAGGAGAGAGAACTGCAAGAGCAATGTCCTTGAAGAAGTGAATGAAGTACCGAAGGGGCAGAACTGACTTCAGGTTTAACTACCACCCACTCCATTCTTCTGTCCAGGGGGAAGATGTGAGAAGATGTGTGTGTGTGTTGGTGAGAGTATGTAGAAGTTTTCTTCTGATTGCTTTTATTGTTTCTGAGAATCAGAGTATACAATCACCAGCTGAGAGTTCTTGGGGAGTGAGGAGAGAAGAGGATGTTCAAAACACTGGTCTGGAGGGTAGGAGACTGAATGAAATAGGGTTAAGTATGAGGATGGTAGTGGTGGGGGGCAGAGAACCACTAAGCGCCACTCTAGAGGTTGTAATTTCAAGTGAAACAAGAGCTATTTGGGAGTGTGCATGGATAGGCAGAGAATTCTGCTTAGCCAGTGTTGTAACTGTGCTCTGCTCCAGGAGACAGGTTGACAACAGGGTCACTAATGGAGTTTAAATTGGGTAAAGTAAAGACCGGAGGCATGTGAGAGATGAGGAAAGAGAGGAGCAACCAATTGAAGGTCCCAGTGTTACTGGATTGCAGCAGTTGAGGCATTAGAGAAAGTGAGCTCGAAAAATGCTGGGAGAAGTCAGGAACTGGGTGACTGAAATGGAGATGAAAGAGGGCTCCCAGATCCTTGAATAAAGATTACATAAGATTATTGAATAAGATGTAAGGGATGTCCATAGGAGCCAATGCCTGAGATGGGGTGAAGGGATAGAAAGCAGAGACCAAGGCATTGCCAGACTCATATTTGGGGATTTAAATTTTATAAGGAGTGATTGAGAGACTGAGAGACGGGCAACAAAATCCTCAGATTGTCATGTCTCAGGCTGAGTGATGAGGGAGGGCTGGAAAGTCTGAGGAACTTAGATCCAAGACCAAATTTTAGGATTGCTGGAAATAGCAATGATGAGGAAGGTGACAGGTATGCCTCCGTTAAGCCCATGTCTCCTGTGTGTGAGAGAGGACTGCAGGGAAGCATGTCTCCAGGGCAAAGCCAAGTTTCAGTTTCAGAAAGAAGAAGGAAACTCTGGGAAAAAGAAGTTGAGGATCTAAGCCACAGTAGGTTGGGTGGGGAAATGCAGACGATATCCACGCACACAAAGAGATGAAAGAACTCCCAGAAAAGTTCCAAAGAAATGGAACTGTGGTGTTTTGGGTGAGGACTGCAAAACTAGAATGACTTTGGAGGCACACCGGGCAGTTTGGTGGAACATCAGGGCACCTGAAAGCCCTAGAATCAGGCTGACTAGGGTTGAAATCCCAGTCTTGTGTCTTGCTGCCAGTGTGATCTCAAACAAATTCCACTTTTGCTCACCAGCTCCTAAGGACATGATTAAAGGAAGTACATCCTGAGTACTAAAACAGCATCAGCTATTGACATTAAAAGCACATGAATTGACTCAGTTTGAGTCTTTCCCCCAGAATTTTAGTTCTTTGTTGGCAAATAGTGTTGTTTTAAGTTTGTAAGATATTTTGTACAAAGATACAATATAGCACCCGTTAAGTACTGAAATGTACAAGTAAATGCTTAAGCCTTGTTCTTTAAGATGAGTAGACATGGTTATGCCCATAGATCTCAGAATTAGAGATCGCTGAAATTATTTGGTCAGCTCCGCCAGCATCACTCGAGAATTTACAAAAGAGAACTGGGCATGGCAAGGCTGAGGCTGATCCATGATCACTCGGTTGTAGAGCCATAACTAGAACCTGGGAGGAACTCTAGATTCTGGTCTAAACTTCTCCCCTACTCTTTAGCATTGCATCAGTCTTCCCTAAAAGTCAGGAAGCAGTCACCAGCTGACATCCCTCAGAAGGTTTCGTCTCTACTAGACTAAGAAAAGCGCCAGCACTCTGCTGAGCGCAGTAACCAAAGGTACTAGGGTTCAGAAATCGCTCCCTGGGACTGGGCGGGACTGATGCACTGAGGCCCCTCCCCCGCCCTGTTCCATTTGGTGGAGAAGAAAGTGCCCTGGAAAACGAAGGGCCTAGGAGAGAGGGAGAGTGGGGCAGGCGGTGACCAGGAGCGGAGACTGTGGACCTTGCAGAGCTGCGTTCTAGTGAGGCAGGGCTCGAGCAGTGCTGCCTGGGCTCTTGTAGAGCCTGCAAAGGCTGAGCTCACCTGCCCAGCGTGAGCTGCCAAAGGAGAGATTCGTCAGCAGGGCCATGCGCTAGGCTCTCTGCCCACCTCAGCGTGCAGATGGGCAGCTCCTGGAACAGCAGCGACAGTGACGAGGGCGCGCGGGAGCCTCCATGGGCCACGCGGCTGCCCTGCGACGAGCACCGCTGCTCATCCTTTCCCCTGAGGGCACTGGTGCCGGTGACCGCTGTGTGCCTGGGCCTGTTTGTCATCGGTGTATGCGGCAATGTAGTGACGGTACTGCTGATTGGGTGCTACCGGGAGATGCGGACCACCACCAACTTGTACCTGGGCAGCATGGCGGTGTCTGACCTACTTATCCTGCTCGGGCTGCCCTTCGACCTGTACCGCCTCTGGCGCTCGCGGCCCTGGGTTTTCGGGCCGCTGCTTTGCCGCCTCTCTCTCTACTTGGGCGAGGGATGCACCTATGCCACACTGCTGCACATCACGGCACTCAGCGTCGAGCGCTACCTCGCCATCTGTCGCCCTCTCCGAGCCCGCGTTGTCATCACCCGGCCCCGAGTCCGCGGGCTCATCGCAGCCCTCTGGGCCGTGGCGCTGATATCCGCTGGGCCATTCTTCTTTCTGGTGGGCGTTGAGCAGGACCCAGGTGTAAACGCATTCTCAGACCTTAACAGCACCACGCAGCTCACCCCCTCACCACGCGCCTCACCACCACCTACTGCGTCGCCCCTCAGGTCCTCTCGAGTGCTGCTGACTCTATCCCCGCTGTCGTGGCACCAGGCAGCCGAGGCCGCGGTGCTGTTCAGCCGCGAGTGCCGGCCGAGTCCTGCCCAGCTGGGTGCGCTGCGTGTTATGCTGTGGGTCACCACCGCCTACTTCTTTCTGCCCTTCCTGTGCCTCAGCGTCCTTTACGGACTCATCGGGCGGGAGCTGTGGAGGAACCGGGGGCCGCTGCGTGGCCTGGCCGCCTCTGGGCGGGAGAGGGGCCACCGGCAGACGGTCCGCGTCCTGCGTAAGTGGAGACACCCTGTTCCAAATACACCAATCCGCTAGTCTCCCAGACCTTGGCGCCTCCCCTAGCTACGTCCCTAAGGTGTTCCTGACGGTAGGATACCCAGGTCCCCTAAACAGCAGCGATTTTCCAGAGCCTCTAGGATCAGCGAGCCGGGCTGATCCAGGACAGAAAATTGGAGGCTCTTAAGGCAACTGTCTGTCCCCACTAGATACTGCAGATGTGGATCTCACAGAATCCTTGAGAAGATAAAGTAGATCACATTAAGCTAAAATTTCTTTACTTAATGCTAACGTTTCCTGAAGGTTAAAGTGAACCATGCCTATTCCAAAATTAAGATTGTGCAGACCTGCTGCAGTGTTTTGGGTTTTTTTTTCCAACAGAGTACCCGTTTTTGAAGTGGCTGTGGGGAAGGAAACTTGCCAGCTTGTTAGGAGAAACAGCTCCTTCTGCTTTTATGTCCAGCCTTGATAACACATACATGAGCCAGATATTCAGCTTTAAAGCAAATATAGATGCCGTCTGCAGTCTGGTAGTTTTGTGGGCTGGGGATTTGGTTAGGTCAAAGCTTTACAGAATGTGTTTTATTACTTATTACTTCCGATGGCTTTTTGGGGATCCCTTTTTTCTTATTTATTTATTCAAAACATTGCTATTTTTTATTTTTTCAATAATTTTATTTAGTTATTTTTTCTAGTACAGTTTTTTGTTTATTTCTCCCATCCCAGGCCCCTCCCCCCGGCCCTGTGCTCCCCACCTCCCTCCCATTTCCACCCCCCTTAGTTCTCGTTCCTGTGTCCTTCATATTTGTTCCTCAAAATCCCTCCCCTTTTTCCCCCTTAAATTCCCTTCCCTCTCCCCTCTGGTCTGAGTGAAATAGGCCAGGGGTTGAAAGACAAATACCATATGATCTCACCTTTAACAGGAAGCTAAACAACAAAACAAACAAGCAAGCAGAATAAAAATAAAGACACTGAAATAGAGAACAAAGGGACAGTGACCTTTTTTCTTTTTGATTGCTTTAGCTAATTTTGGTGCCTGTGTCTTGTTTTGCAGTGGTGGTGGTTCTGGCATTTATAATTTGTTGGTTGCCTTTCCACATTGGCAGAATCATGTACATAAATACAGAAGATTCTCAGATGATGTACTTTTCTCAGTACTTTAACATTGTTGCATTGCAACTTTTCTATCTAAGTGCATCCATTAACCCAATCCTCTACAACCTCGTTTCAAAGAAGTATAGAGCTGCGGCTTGGAAACTACTGCAGTGGAGACAGTCCACACAGAGAAGTTTCATTAGAAGGAGAAACACAGAGGGGACTACGGGAGGAAACGCAGCTGGCTACACCTACACCATCATCAGCATATCGATGCCTGCCACAAGCAAGTCCGACCAAATTGTGTCCTCCCACAGCTCTGGGACTTCAGAGAAAACAGGTCTGTAGGGCATAGGACTGAAACCGGGAACTAATGCTGTTGGGAGGAATTAGAAGGTGGTTGATATTTAGCAAATTGGCCAGTAACTTTGTCAGCATGATTGTGTTTCAACCTAGGTACAAAAAGAAAGTGTACCAATCTTTCTAGGTTTTTTTTGTTTGTTTGTTTACCTCTTCAGAGATGTTCATTTTAGCCTCATGAAATCCCTCACAAAATGTGCTCTTGGGAGGTTTTACAAGTCTTCATTCTCCTAGGCTTTGAAAATATGGTTGCTCATTTTATATTTAATCAGATACAGATAGACAAGATCAAAGGTGTATTTTGTTTTTATGTTTTGGATATAAATGTAATGGTGTATATACAGGGAACCCAGGATAATGACAGTATTGATGCGATAAAATATTTTTTAATTTTTAATATTTTTGTTTTTTTAATTTTAATATATTTTATTGATTATGCTATTACAGTTGCCCCATTTTCCTCTCCCCTTTGTTACCCTTCACCCTGTATCCCCCTCCCACCATCTTTCCCTGACCTTAGTTCATGTCCATGGGTCATACATATGATTTCTTTGGCTTCTCCATTTCCCATGCTTAACCTTCCTCGGTCTATTTTGTACCCATAATTTATGCTTCTTACTCCCTGTACTTTTCCCCCATTCTCCCCCCTCCACCTCCCTGCTGATAACTCTCCATGTGATCTTTATTTCTGTGAATCCGTTCTTGTTCTAGTTGTTTGCTCAGTTTTTTTTTTAGGTACAGTTGTTGATAGTTGTGAGTTTGTTGTCATTTTACCATTCACAGTTTTGATCTTTTTCTTAGATAAGTCCCTTTAACATTTCATACAATAAGTGCTTGGTGATGATCAACTCCTTAACTTGACCTTATCTGGAAAGCACTTTTTTTGCCCTTCCATTCTAAGTGATAGCTTTGCTGGATAGAGTAATCTTGGATGCAGGTCCTTGCCCTTCATGAGTTTGAATACTTCCTGTCAGCCCCTTCTTGCCTGCAAAGTTTCTTTTGAGAAATCAGGCGATAGTCTCATGGAAGCTCCTTTGTAGGTAACTGTCTCCTTTTTTCTTGCTGCTTTTAAGATTCTCTCCTTATCTCTCATCTTGGGTAATATAATTACCATGTGCCTTGGTGTGTTCCTCCTTGAGTCCAACTTCTTTGGAACTCTCTGAGCTTGCTGGACTTCCTGGAAGTCTATTTTCTTTGCCAAATTGGGAAAGTTCTCCTTCATTATTTGTTCAAATAAGTTTTCCATTTCTTTCTCTTCCTCTTCTCCTTCTGGCACCCCTATGACTCAGATGTTGGAACATTTAAAGTTGTCCTGGAAGTTCCTAAGCCTCTCCTCATTTTTTTGAAGTCTTGTTTTCTTATTTTGCTCTGGTTGAATGTTTATTTTTTCCTTCTGCTCCAAACTGTTGATTTTGAGTCCTAGATTCCTTCCCTTTATTGTTCGTGCCCTGTATATTATTCTTCATTTCACTTTGCATAGCCTTCACTTTTTCCTCCATTTTGTGACTATATTCAACCATTTCTGTGAGCATCCTGATTACCAATGTTCTGAACTGTGCAACTGATATGTTGGCTATCTCTGCATTGCTTAGTTCTATTTTTTTCTGGAGCTGTGATCTGTTCTTTAATTTGGGCTGTATTTTTTTTTGTCTCAGCATACTTGTTGTGTAGTAAGGGGCAGAGCCTTATGTATTCACTGGGGCAACCCACTTTTCTTCATTGCAATGCTGTATGTGGGGGAGGGGTATGAGAGGGAACAGTGCTGTGTACTCAGGTTTCTGCTGGCTTTCAGTCACTTCCCCCACTACCCACAAGCAAATTGGGCCCTTCTGGTGCTGATTCCCAGGTGGGTGGTTTTATGTAGTTCTAGGACCTTCTGGGTCTCTCCAAAGAACTCTTCAGTTAGCCTGGCAGTTTCTCCTGCTGCCTCAACCCTCAAAAATTATTTCAGTCAGAGGTTTTAAGGCTTTATTTCCTCATGCTGGAACCCTGGCTTGTGCGGTCTATCTTGCTTCTGAGTTTTTCCTCCTGGTTTATCTGCATGCAAATGTGGGACCACCTGGTACAGCAGCCTCTGCCTTGCTTCAAGTCCTCTCTTCCTGACTGCCCATCTCCATCCCTACCAGTCTGGATGAATGTTTCTTCTTTAATTCCTTGGATGATGGATTTCCATACAGTTTGATTTTCTGGCAGTTCTGGTTGTTTTTCATTTTTAAATTTGTTGTTGTCCTTCTTTTGGTTGTGTGAGGGAAGCAAAGTATATCTACCTACGCCTCTATTTTGGCTGGAAGTCTCTGATCCAAGAAATTATGTAATACCTATTTATGGCAGCAAAAATTTTTAGAAACAAGTGAAAGGAATTTGGGGTTGAAATGTTCCAAGTCCCACCTCTTTCCTGGCTCAGAGCAAATCCCAAAGCACAGTACTCTCCTGCAGAACTACTATGCATAAGCAACTTTGTTGTGACCCACTTCTCCCTGACACTGTCCATGGAGCCTTCCCAGTGCCATCGGCTAGGAGGAAGCAAACCTGGGCACAGAAGTCTGATGTCAGAAAACTGCAGCAGGACCTGACTTTCAGACATTTATGAAGAGCTTTAATATGCCTTATTCTCCTCAGCTTGGTGTCTGAGTGTTATCATCATTCCTGCTTTAGTAGTGACAAAACTGAGTTTTAGATTTCTCACACAGGAAGTGATTGGTCTAAATAAGAACTCTAATCTTTAGGATCCTACCATGAAAAGCTGCTCTTACTGTAAAACACAAGTTAGTGGATGCAGTTAAAGGTAAAAAAGAATGAATGTGTTGGACATTCTGACCAACAATTCTGCAACTTAGTTTTTTATAGTTTGTTTTTTTAATTCAAATAGTTTTTACTTTTTATTTTTCCTTACCATTTAGTCACCTTATATTCCCCTACAGCCCACAGTCACTACACTGTTGTCAACATCTATGATCCTTTTTAATTTTTGCTCAATTCTTCCACTGCCCATTAACATCATCCTGCTCTCTGTCCATGAGTCTCTCTGTTTTGCTTGTTAGTTCAGTTTATTAATTAGATTGCACATCTAAGTGAAATCATATGGTATTTATCTTTCTCTGACTGATTTATTTCACTTAGCAAATGTTTTCCATGTCCATCCATACTGTCCCAGAGGATAAAACTTTCTTCTTTTTTACAGCCGAATAGCATTCTATTGTGTAAATGTTCCATAGTTGTTTTATCCACTCATCTACTGATGGACACTTGGGCTGCTTCCATATCTTGGCAATTGTAAATAATGCTACAAATGAACATAGGTGTGCTTATGCTCTTTCAAATTAGTGTTTTGGATTTCTTTGGATATATTCTTAGAAGTGGGATCTCTGGGTCAAAGGTTAGAGATCCTTTTGGATCCATTTTTAATTTTTTCAGGTATCTCCATACTGCTTTCCACAGTGGCTGCACCAATCTGCATTCCCACCAATAGTGCAAAAGGGTTCCCCTTTCTCCACATCCTCGCCAGCACTTGTTGTTAGTTGATTTATTAATGATAGCTATTCTGAAAGGTGTGAGGTCATAATTCATTGTGGTTTTAATGTGCATTTCTCTGTTGATTAGTGACATTGAGCATCTTTTCATATGTCTATTGGCCATCCATATGTCCTCTTTGGAGAAGTGTCTGTTCAGGTCTTTTGCTCATTTTTTAATTGGTAAGTGTAAGTTCTTTATAAATTTTGGATATCAACCCCTTATCAGATGTATTGATAAATACGTCCTCTCATTCTATGGGTTTTTTTTTTATTGTTGTTGATGTTTTCCTTTTCTGTGCAAAATAGTTTGATGTAGTCCCATTTGTTTATTTTTTCTGCTTCTCCTGCCTGGGGAGATATATCTGATAAAATACTGCTACAAGCTATGTCCAAGATTTTGCTATGTTTTTATTCTAGGGTTTTTATGGTTTCAGGTCTAACATTTAAGTCTTTAATCCATTTTGGATTTATTCATGTGTAGTATAACGAGGTGGTCTAGTTTCATTTTTCTGCACGTATCTGTCCATTTTTCCCTACACTATTGAATAAATTATCTTTAGTCCATCAGATGCTTACTTGCTTGCTTTCTCTGTTGAATATTAATTGACTATAAAGGTACGGGTTTATTTCTGGGATCTTTATTTATTATTTTTTTAAGTTTTACTTATTTTTAGAGAGGGGAAGGGAGAGAGAAAGAGAGGGAAACATCAATATATGAGTGCCTCTCACACATCCCCTACTGGGGACCTGGCCTGCAACCCAGACACCTGCCCTGACTGGGAATCCAACCAGTGACCCTTTGGTTCGGAAGGGCACTCAGTCCTCTGAGCCATACCAGCCAGGGCTGGACTCTGTTCTGTTCTGTGATCTATGTGTCTGTTTTTAGCCAGTACCATGCTGTTTTGGTTACTATGTATGTCAAGGGTGAAAGAGAATGTTGGACATTTTGACCAACAACTCTGTAATTTTGTTTTTTACAGTTTGAAACTCAAACCTGTTCCCAGAGGCCCTCATTCACGACATGGTCTGTGTGAATGGCGCCCCCTGGAGGTCACAACTTGCTCAGTTGCAAAGTACAAGTAAACAAGGATCACTTAACATGCTGGAAAAGTTCTGCTTTGGCACTAGATTAGTTCAGCAGGGTGGTTTTTAAGTCCCCTTCAAGTGTTCTAAATCTCTGACCCTGCCCTCCCATGGATCAGTGAGGAAGTCTCTCCTCTAGGATGTATTTCTCCCTATTAGTGGAAGAAGCAGAGAGCAGCCACTTGGGGCAGCAGAGTCCCTAAACTCTGTTGTGCGGATTTTCAAAGATTATTTGAAAACAGTCTATGGGAAGGTCATTGTTAAGAATGTTATTATATCTTATTTTTAATATAATATTTTAGATACAGACAGAAAAACCTCTCCTTGAAGCTTTCTTGTTCAAATTCTCACTCTCCTGTGATTTAAAAGTGTTACATCATGTGGGCCTGAGGGAGAATCACCCTTTGTTTACTGAAGGGTCCCTGAGATGGAGTGCCTGAGCCCATCCTTCCAGTGGATCACTGTGTGGTTATTTTCAAAATGCTGGTCTCACCCATTAGTGGATTGTGAAATC